AAATAAATAAACATTAAAATAAATTTTTAAAAGAAGATATCCACCAGATGAAATAGGAAATTGAATCCAGAAAAGACTGAATTACTTGTGTAACCTAGCATATAATAAAGGTGGCATCTTATTATCACTGGGGAGAAAATGGACTTTTTAACAAGTAGTGTTGGCTCTCCAATTGTAAAGAAAACAGTACCAACACACAAAAAAATCACAGATCAAACAATTTTTAATGAAAATAGACAAATACTTTCAAGTTCCTTTGTAAGCTGGGTATAAGTAAAGTATTTCTAACAGATTCAAAATCCATCTGCAAGAAAAAAATCGACAGATTCAATTACACCAGAAACAGGTTTAAAGACAAAACACAAGAAAACTTTTGCAGTGCTTTGCAGATAAAGAACCAATTTTTCTGATTAAAAAAAACTCCTGGGGTGCCTGGGTGGTTCAGTTGGTTAGGCATCTGACTCTTGATTTCAGCTCAGGTCATGACCTCACAGTTCAGGAGTTTGAGCCCCACATCAGGCTCCGTGCTGACAGTGTGGAGCCTGCTTGGGATTCTCTCTCCCTCTCTCTGCCCCTTCTCTGCTCATGCCCAAGCACTCTATCAAAATAAATAAATGAACTTTAAGAAGAAATTCCCTGATATTAAAAAAGCCCCAAGGCCCAAAAACAATGTGCACAATAAACACAAACATACAGTTCACATTAAAAAATATATAAACAGTCGGGGCTCAGTGGGTTGAGCATCTGATTTCAGCTCGTGTCATGATCTCACAGTTTGTGAGTGCGAGTCCCGCATCAGGCTCTGGGCTGACAGCTCAGAAACTGGAGCCTGCTTTGGATTCTGTGTCTCCCTCTCTCCGTTCCTCCCCCGCTCACTCTCTGTCTCTCTCTCCTTCAAAAATAAACAAACATTAAAAAAACTTAAAAATTAAAAATGTATAAACAGCTCTAAGTTTCATGAAAAGATGCTCAACTTCATCTGTAGAAGAAACGCAAATGAAAAACAAATTCAGATGTCACTTCTCACGTATCAGAATGCCAAAAATCCAAAGGCCTGACAATGCACTCTGTTGGCAAGGCCATAGGGTCTAAATGGACACTCATACTGTTCATGGGAGTGCAAAATGGGACAAGTACTGGAGCAGTATCTCCTAAAACTCCATGTGCATTTACTCTCTGAGCCAGCAATCCTCCTTCTAGGAGTTTTCTCTGAGAAAAGCACCACACACACCAAGTTACTCAATGAAGATTTTTTTGTGAAAGCAAATTGTTGAAAATCTAATTGACAACTCATGGAAACCATTTGAATACACCATCATCACATGTTTATACAGTTAAATACTATGCAAGTAGGTAGAAAAAAGTAAGTAAGAAAGAAGTATCTCCATGTGCTAATATGGAATGATTTTCAGGTCACCCTGTTAAGTGAAAAAACAGATTATAAAAGCATCCACAGAAAAATCTCTTTTGTGTGAGAAAAAAAATAAAAATATACACACATAATTCCATTCCTGGGTATATACCCAAAAGAACTGAAAACAGGTGTTCAAACAAAAACTTACACATGAATGTTTGTAGCAGGACAATTCACAATAACCAGAAGGTAGAAACATCCCAAATTCCATCAGCTTAATAAATGGATAAACAATATGTGGTATAGCCTTGCAATGGATTATTATTCAGCCACAAAAAGGATGGAAGTGCTAATACATGCTACAACATAAAGGAACCTTAAATCATTATGCTAAATGAAAGGAGCCAGACACAAATGGCCACATATTTTCAAAATAGGCAAATCCACAGAGACAAAGACTAGTGGCTGCCAGGTGATAGGAGAAGGAAGACTGAGGAGCAACTGCTTAATGGGTATGGGTTTCCACCTGGGGTGCTAAAAATGTTCTGGACCTAGATAATGGTCATGGCTACAAACATTGTTAACTTATTAAACATCAATTATAATAAAATGTATGTGTATTTAACTGCAAAAAGGGCATTTTTTTCGTGTACCTAAAAATGAAAAAATTGTTAGAACATTTGTGAAAAACATAAGAGAAATATTTTTTTATTGAAATCATTTGGCAGTTTGAAACCAGAATAGAATTAATGGCCAAAATGTTTACAACACAAAATACAGGTCCTAATACAGGGTATCAAAAGAGAAGGTCAACAGAGGTTTGAATAGCATGGAAGGTTTCTTAAGTAGGCTTTAATCTCCCCATTGTAGGTTAGTAGTATCTAGAGAAGGACAAAAAGAAACATAAAGAATAGGAGTCAACATCTGATGTAGAATCTTTCACAGTGTTAGTACTTCTGTTTTATTTGTTTTATTCATTTTCCTACTTGTTTTTTCATTAGGACTTAGTTAATATTTTCTGCTTCTATTTGAAAACATGTCAGGGACTGGATCCACACCAGAGAGTTGTCCTTTTACATCTATGCAAAACTCTACAATTTCTTCTAAGTCTTCCAAGGGGACTACAGAATTCTCTTTCCCTTCCTAAGATCTTAGGGACCTTATTGGGCTCTCCTGAGGGGCACTGAGGCAGTGGGGACTCATGGATGAATGGTGGCAAAGCATGGAATAAAGACGTATAAAACTGAGAATGCCAAGTCATTCTCTTCACTGATGTGTTACTAGGAAGAGATAACAAGATGACAATGGAAACAAAAAGATGACTCGTGTATTCGACAAATACTGCATACTTTCTCTGCACGTGCTACTGTGACTGGCACTGAGATGACTAGGACATGGGTCCTTTCATCAAAAACCTCTGGGTCCAGTGCAACCTAACTTACAGATAACAAAACTCAGGTCCAGGTAACTGATGGGAGTCATTAAAGATGATAAAGACAATTCACAACAAAGCCATAACTCAAACAAAGTCTTCCTCTGTTCAGGGAGATAAAAAGCACACAGGTTCCTTTCATTCTCTTCTTCACGGACACACAAAAACTACAAATACACAATTAGCCACATTGCTACCAAATGGTACCACCGTGTAGAGTCCCTACATTACACAGGTTGGCAGAAACCAGAAAGACAGTCCACATATTTACAGTAACTAATGAATGACTAAGTAACATCCAACATTAAAAAATTACATTTATCCTTATTTCTTTTGTGGAAGGAAAACAGGAAGGATAATCAGAAACTATTAAAAATGGTTACCTAGGGAAACTGGGTAAAAACCAAGTAGAGAGCACAGTGATGAGGATAAGATTTATCTGAGTCTTGATCTCAGTATCGTTTTGATTTTGAAATCATGAAAATCTTTCACAATATTCAAAAATTGAAATTGAAACAAAGGATTTTTTTAAATCCTAATTTGAATACAAACACAAATGAACCTTGGTAGTAAACTGATAAAATAGCACAAAGAAAAAAATACTTCACGCACCTTCCAAACACAATCCTCTAACTATACACCCTTAGTGAGAACAAATAAAACTGCAAAGAAATTATTTAGCCATTTTTATGTACAATTCAGTACAGTTACATATATTCACAGCATTGTTCAACCGATCTCCAGAACTTTTTCAATTGTTTATAAAATGATTTATTTATTTATTTATTTATTTTGAGAGAGAACACGTGAATGGGGGAGGGCAGAGAGACAATCCAAGGAAGACTCCATACTGATAGTGCAAAGCCCAACACGGGGCTCGAACCCATGAGATGCAAGATCATGACCTGAACCGAAGTTGGACAGTTAACCAAGTGAGCCACCTGGGCACCCCAAACTGCAAAGAAATAATAAACTTCACTTAGAAAGGTTGTCAGTAGACATATTGGTTTAGTAGCTCTAAAACTTCTAAAATTATTTTGCGTGTATTTTAAAGGACAAGGGTTTTCGGGCTGCTTGGATGGCTCAGTCGGTTAAGCGTCTGACTTCGGCTCAGGTCATAATCTCACAGTATGTGAGTTCGAGCCCCACGTCAGGTCTGTGCTGACAGCTCAGAGCCTGGAGCCTGCTTCAGATTCTGTCTCCCTCTCTCTTTGCCATTCCCCAACTCGTGCTCTCTTTCTGTCTCAAAAACAAATAAATGCTAAAAAATTTTTAAATAAATAAGAAAAATAAAGTACAAGGGTTTTCACGATGTTGAAGGCAGATACAAATACAGAATTGGAGAAGACAAAGTAAGAACCCTGTGGTACTATATTTGAAATGAATGTATCACTATAAAATCATGACAGACACACATATAAAATCTCTTAGTTCTAGTCACTAAAAGGGCCCAGTAGCAAAGAGTACCATCCATCCTCCTGATCTGAATACCACTCTCCACTCAAGGAGCCATGATTCTTGGGGAGAAACAGTTGATTCCAGGTCAGCGACAGGAATAATACAATGAGAACCTGGAACACCTTCCTAGCCCAGGAAGCAAGGATATGCTCAAAGACCAAAGTGGTCATGTCAAAAAGACATAGGAGGCAGCTCAAAGGAGCTCCCACTGCCAAATTTAGGATAATTTGAACATCAAAAAGAAAAATAATGATAATGGATACTGAACTAAAACAGTAATTTTATTTCAATCTTTGAGTTTAAAGTGATCATTTTAAAAAGGAAAGAGGAAAAAAAAGGAAAGAGAAAGTCATCAATAGATGTTGAAAGCATTGGGCGATGGTGAGTGAAAGATATACACATGATCTCACATATCATCCCTTATGTACATTAATACAAAGGTGGAAAAGTAGCTTTATAAGGAAGAGATCTGATGAACATCACTTTGGCCAAGAGAGCAAACTCAGTATCACCAAGAATAGGACAAAATGACATTATGTGCCTCTGATATGATCAGTGGAAAGGACACAATTTCTTCTATATTGCATTTTTGACAAAATATTTAATCTCTAGGGGCACTTGGATGGCTCAGTCGGCTGAGCGTCCAACTTCGGCTCAGGTCACGATCTCACAGTTTGTGGGTTCGAGCTCCGCATCAGGCTGTGTGCGGACAGCTCGGAGCCTGAAGCCTGCTTGGATTCTGTGTCTCCCTCTTTCTCTGCGCCTCCCCTGTTTGTGCTTTGTCTCTCTCTCTCAAAAATGAAAAACATTAAAAAAATTTTAAATATTTAACCTCTATACACCAAGAAGCAATCAGGCAAATCCCAGATTGTGGAATAGTGAACAAAACCAGCCTGGTCCCTTTGAAGATGTCAAGGTGATGAAAGACCACCCCCCCCCCCCCCCGGACTAAAAAAAAGCCAGAGTGGGAGGAGAGGATGGATGGTGCCGTTCTATACTAAATAACACTCAAGAGACATAAAAACTGAAATGGACTCTGCACTTGAAAAAACAGGTATCGGGGGCGCCTGGGTGGCTCAGTCGGTTGAGTGTCCGACTTTGGCTCAGGTCATGATCTCACGGTTCGTGAGTTTGAGCCCCGCATCGGGCTCTGTGCTGACAGCTCAGAGCCTGGAGCCTGCTTCGGATTCTGTGTCTCCCTCTCTCTGTGCCCCATCCCCACTCATGCTCTGTCTCTCTCCGTCTTAAAAATAAATAAAACATTTAAAAAAAAAAAAAAAAGAAAAAACAGGTATCATTTTGGGCTGAGGAAATCTTAATATGAACGATATGTTATATAATATTATGAGAATAGTACTGTGGCTAAGTACACAAGTGTTCTTGTTCTTAGGAGGTCACTATTGAAACCTGTAGAAGTAAAGCATCATGGCTTTAAAACTTACTTTCAACAAGTTAACGAAAACTTAAGTCTGTGTATATGTGGTTGAGAAGGGGGAAGAGGAAGAAAGTAAATGTTAAAAATCCACAAATTAGGGCCCAGTATTTCTAAAAAAGGACAAGATAGAACAGAATTTAGGCTTTGTGGCTGCACATATCTCTCACACTGCTACATATTCTTCCTTGCATTTTTCTCTTTTTTAAAAACACCTTTTAAAAATGAAAAACCAGGGCATCTGGGCAGCTCAGTCAGTTGAGTATCCAACTTCTGATTTCAGCTCAGGTCATGATCCCCAGGTCGTGGGGTCGAGCCCCCTATCAGGGTCCGTGTTGAGTGTGGAACCTGCTTAAGATTCTCTCTCTCTCTCTCTCCCCCACCCCGTCCCCTGCTTGCACTCTCCCTCCCTAAAATTAAAAAAAAAAAGAAAAGAAAAAAACATTCTGAGCTGGGGCCCTACATAGTAACAGGCATGATTTCCTTCTGAGGTAAAAAAAAAAAAAAAAAAAAAGTGAGACCAACTAAGGTGATAGCTGGGCAACTCTGTGACTATAGTAAACACCACTGAAATGTACACTTTAAATAGGTGAATTGTATGGTACGTGAATTACAGTTCAATAAAGCGGTTTAAAATAAACTGGCTGTGAGTGGGCCATAATTTGCTGACCCATGATCTACACTTGGTGGTAATAATGAGGCAAATCAAAAAAACAAACACTAAAGACAATTTCCCCTTCACATTTTACAGAAACTAAATCAGGCTTGTTTACTTAAGAAAAAACATTTTGTCAAAGATTATGTAGCTAAGAAAATCTGACACATTCATTTGTATCATTTTAAATTTTGATTAGACAAAGCAAGTTGATTACTAAATCTAATTATTGTACTATGCTACTATCAAAGAGCTAAAATTGTAAGCACATCAATTCAGTAGAAATTAAAAGACATCATTTATTGCTGCAGCTCTCAAAATCACCAAGTCTAAAATGACCACAGAAATGAAATTCCAAAATAAGTAAAAGACCAAACTCTTTGGAACACAGAGACACGAAACTTCCTTTCATGGTATTGTTTTTCTTTTTACATTTAATTTTCTACAGAACTACACTTCTCTCAATATGAGAACATATACCACACCTAAAAACAGTTGTGGTAGGTCCTTTACCCTTAAAGGAACCCGTGTCAAAGTACCAAGTCATCTCAAATGTTAATGCTTTATATCTCAAAATGGCACTCTCTTAGAAACAAAATAGTTACCTTTCTCATAAGAATCAAGGGCATCGTCTTCAAGGTCATCATCAAAAATCTCTCGGCCATCCTCCACATAGCCAATACCATCTACAGGACAAAATTTTAAATTGGAATCAAGTTTCTAAAAGTGGCTAGTAGTATTTTAGCCACCACCACCACAACAAAACACCTTTTATACCCACTCAGATGTTCTCCCGGCCTGTGCCATCTTTAAGTGTAGCAGAAACCTGGTTCAGATGAGTGCCAGATGAAACACAACATTTACATACACAGCAGGTTTGCTGAGTCAAAACAAAAGGAAATATGCTATGCCCATCCAGGTGAGCTAGGGAAACAATTTGGCCCTCAGGATCAAAGTCTGCCACAACAGGATGTTTAGCAGTAGTTTTGCTCTACCAAAAGAATAAAAAGTACAAGAATCGAGATCACAGAGGCCCAGAAAAAGCACCTCAGTCTCCAGAGAAAAGTGGCAATATAGCTGAGTCCAACTACAGAAAAAGAAACATAAATATGGTCACAGGTGCAGTCTACACACCCCCCCCCCAGTGGTCGGCAATCACATGGCCAAGAAGTCACACCCGACAAGCAGTAACCAGTGGGCTTTCCACATGGGTTGTAAGAACATCGGGACCAGCCTCTGCCCGGAGCTTTCCACTGTCCAGGTTAGTGTTCACACAAAGAGCTTTGTGTAATCCTCACAGACATTCTGTGCAACAGGTAGTTTTCTTATTCCCACATCACCCGAGGATACCCCACAGGTACATGGTTCCTCCCAATTCCTAGCCCCTTCTTGGATGTTTTATACTAGCTCCTGAGATATGTGGCCGGACTCTCCAAATATCCCAAAACAAACTTCGTATTGTACTGCCTCTGCACTCTCAAATATTGTACTTGAGAAAAATCTGAACCAATGGTATGATCTTCACAGTGTCTTACGTCTGCTCGTGCAAAGCAGCAACTCCACTGCACAAGACTCTACACAACTAGTACAGCGTCTAGGAGGCCATTTCCTCCCACATACCATCATCCACGATCCAGTCATCATCTTGACGGGCCTGAACCAGCTTCGAATACTGTTCTTCATCAACTTCTTCATAAACACTTGTGAAGTCCTCAACCTGCCATCATACAAGTTTGAGAAAGCTTCAAATGGAGTGAAAGCGTTAAACATTTCTGATGGAAAATCGTCAAATTGAAACTGGAATGGCAGCCTGAAGGAGTAGCTGCAACCAAATCATGAGTTCTGACATTCAACACCACTACCAGGTTTTCCTTAAATAGACATCAATTAACTTAGTATTCCTTTTACGTGGGTGTTAACACAAGATATTAAATGATTCCATTAGCATAATACACTTGTCACACCATCAATTACTCATCGGCTTCATAAAAAACAAACTGAATTATAGCCAATTCTTTGGTAGCTGCTTTGGGGATTATTCGCTTGTAACTTCTAGACTGGTTTCTCCTGTAGTTAGCAAACCCATAAGGCATGTTAACCCCCTCTACACTAGCTGATGATGTCCTGCAAACTGACAATTTTATGAACTATTCAACCAACCAAATATAGTTCAAAAGGAAACCCTCCCCCATCTATCTCCCTCTCCCACTCAGCACAACAAGCATACTCGGTATTCTACAGACACACCAGAAACAATGTTTCAGTGATCCCTGTCGGCATTACCACTGATGCCCTACCGTTCTCAGGCCCTGAGACTGCAGAGACTGGAATGCCGAGCTAGGTGAAGGGCAAGTCCTCCAGCAACATGAGCTGCCCAACTGCAGGAGGGCCAGAACACCAGGATTTATTGACATGAACAGAGCAGAGCACTTCACAACGTAAGCAACAAGCAGAACAGAGGCAGCCACCTCAGCGGCTACAGTAACAGGCCATCGGCATCCCAGGTGCAAATTTGGTGGTCTGCTTAGAAGAATTCAAAGACACCTCATTAAAAATCCCCCCCCTTCTCTCCAGAGTTCAAGTGGGAAAGGGGCTAGAAGAAATGACTAACTCCAGCTGAAAAGCTAACACTCCAGGAAAAATCGCTTGGACGTGGAGCTTTGAGAGCCCGATGTGCAGAGCTGACTAGACTCCTGCCATAGCAATGAGACTTCTAACAATGACCAGACCAGGCTTGGTTTTCACCAGCTATTTAATCTGCTCCATAGGGATCACTGGAAAATGTTGATTTGGCCTTTCACCATTTGATAACAGAAACTACCTGCCCTACCGAATTAAGTTTTTGACAACCGAAACACAAACCCATCCAACAATATTACTATACTGACCAAGTTTCTTTTGGCAGGGGAAGGGAACTGGCAGGATGATTTTTGTTGGTTGAAGTCTATCAGGCATACTTTGTCTCTTATTTAAGTAACTCACTTTAATATACTATCAAAAAGATACCAGAAAACTATTTTAACAAATTATTTTGAGTAAAATGTCATTTTGACTCTATGTCACAAAACAGAGCTACTGCTTGGCATGAACCCTTAGAGCCATGCAATTAACATGAGTGATTAAAGAAAAATCAGTCACATCGTGTCAACATCTGAAATGCCCCCACAGAACTCCTTTACAGAAGTTCCTACATTAAAAATGCTTTACTCCTGCTTTACTGTAATCCTTTTAGCAACCCTTTGTGATCTGGTTGACTCACTTAACTTGACTGAATGATGGCAAGTGAAAAAAAAAACACTCTTCTACTTTCTTAATTGCATAGCACAGTATATACCATTGTTAAATATGCAGATTCTGAAGCCAGACTGCCTGTGCTCAAATCCAGGCTCCAGGATCCGCCACTGTGACCTCAGGATTCTCACCTGTGAAATGCTGTTAATCATAGTATCTAACTTTTTCATGATTATTGGAAAGATTAAATAAATGAACCTATTAGTAAAAGAACTTAAAACAATGTTTGCTAAAAAAGTATATGAGCAGTTGGAGTTATCATTATTTTCCAGTATTAATTAAGCACTTTCTAGCCCTAAGGCAGCAAAGATACTCTAAGATATAGGAAGCACACTGAAAGGGAACCCAGACAATGCTGTCTAGATGGCAGCCGCTCCTTTTTTTTCCTTATTTACCTGCAGGCCAAAAGGGCATCACATTCAATCTTACACATAGGACACAACAGCAGTAAGGCCCAAGTCCTTGCAGATTCACCCCTTGCAGATGAAATTAGAAAGAAAAATTCTCTCCACGAAGTAGTGCTTAGCTAGACTGCTCAATACCTTAAGAGTAAGGTAAAAGCATTTCTAAGTTTCCCCCAACAAAGCTATGGGACTTACCAAAGCTACAGTGTGCTTAATAAGGACAAAAATGTAGATCTGCTTTCATCAGAATTTGAATAGCATGCGTAAAGTGCCTTACAGGAACTCAAAGGGTCAAGCAGTGTACACAATGTGCAAATCTACTTCATGCCCATGCTTAATAGTAAGAAATGACTATCACAACAAGAGCGAATTATATGCTTATTTCTCATCAATGACAAAGGGGACATAAAATACCAACAGGCTATGAATTAGATAAAGCACAGGAGGGGAAAAAAAAAAGAAAAATGGTTACTTACTTCATATTTATACTTCTCACCAGCTTTAGCCCTTTTCAGTCTTTCCAGAGCTTCCTGGCGCCCTCTCTTTGATTTCTTTTCTCGCCTGGATCGAGAAGCTACAAAACTCCCTGAATCTGACAGAGCTGAAAAAAAGCCAAATTTATAGGAAATGTTA